TTGACAAATCTTAAAAAGCTTTAAACACTCTTGATAATTTTTGAAATTATTCATTTCTGAATAGTCTTAATCTTCTTTGAGTTCATACACACATTTTTTTTCATTTTAATAATAAATTTCAGATAGATTGTCAGCTTTATCTTAAACTCACATTTATTAATTTTAATCTGCAAACTGATCTGATGAAGCCTCTTCAGAATCTGTCAGACATAATCTTAATGCTGTTTTAATAATTTATCAGTGAAGATAAGAATATCATCTAAGTAAGTTAATCAAAACTCATCAAGATACTCATAAAACATTCAATTTATATACTTCTGAAAGATACTTGATGCATTTATTAGTTCAAATGAGATCATTAATTATTTAAAGAAATTATATCTTATTCAGAAGACTGTCTTTCATTCATTATCTTCAATAATTTATATGTTATGAAAAGCTGTAATGATGTCAAGCTTGATGAATCACTTTGCAGAGTCTATACATTACAGAATTTTATTAATTAATGACAACAGATATTAATCTTTCTTGATTATTTAATTTAGAATTTAATAATTCATGTAAAATTAAAAATCTTCTTCTAATTTTTTTATAAAGAGAACTGGAGGTCCTGCTGATGAACTGCTTATATAAATAAACTTTTTATTAAGATAATCAGTAAGAATTTTTCTGAGTATTAGAAGTTCATTTTATTTTATAATATAGAAAGATCTTCAGAATGATGTTACTTCTTTCTCATTTTTATTCATCAGCAGCTTAATATTATAATCAACATCTAACTTTTATAAATCTGACAACTGCTTCATCTTTTTTTAATTAAAAATATTAAGAAAGTCTCTATAGTGCTCTGATAACTTCTTCTTAGAGTTTTTTTTTTCTTTCTTCATACTGAGCATCTTCTTTATATTAATTATAGAGATTACAAAAACTTCTATCTTTTCTCTCTTTATCTTTCTTGCCCACATTGAGTAGACATTTACTGATATTTTCTGAATTTTAATTAACAGAGAGTTCATTAAGAATTTTGTGATCACACTTTCATTCAATCTCTGTAATGCTCTATTTAATACATCAATTATTACTCTATTTTCTTTCATTCATTCTAACTCAGCAATCATATCATACTTCATTACAGATGACACATAAAATCAAGTCTTTTAGATTGAGTACTTATTAATATTAATTAAGATTCTTACAATCTCTCAAATTTGTTTTTCTGTTAAATCAGCAACCTCTCTCAACTCTTGAAATTGATATTTCATGTGGAGAGCTTAATATTATGAAGTAAAATAAGATGAGATAACTCTATAAACTCAACAGTTATTATCAATTAAAGTTTTTGCTACATACACTTCATTAATAATAGCATCAGTAATTAAGAGAGAGCTATTTATTCTTCTCTTTGCAGCTTTTACTTCTTATATCAGATTTCTACTAGATTCTTGTCTGCAATTTTCAACAAGAGCAATTAGTTTTTTAACTCATTCTCTTTATCTTCATAATCTAATATAATTATCAACAGATTCAGTTCTGCTGCTACAATATTCACTGCATTTGATCAGATGACTGAAAGCAGTCTATAGATTTTAAGAAGATGCTCTTTTAATTCATAACAGAGACAGAAGCTGTTCTGTTAATACTTGTTAATTTTTTATTAATTAATTCATCTGATACACTGAAATTCTTCTTATACTGTATTAATATTTATTGAATTCAGCAGAGAAAGAGCAGTGAAAAGAGTTAAAGCTGATCAGAAGATATTTAAAGAATTATTTCTTACTTATTTTATCTTTCAGAGACAGTTGACATCTGCTGTCTGATGATTAATCATTCTTAACTGTTCACAGTACTTCTTATAAAACTTCTTTTTCTGCAGTTCAACTGTTCAATTCAGCAGATTCAGACAGATGACAGACTTCAAATAAATTTTTTTAATTTTATTATCTCTAGCAGCATTAGTCTTAAGAAGTAGTCAGTTAAACTCTGTTAAGAACTGTATGAATGAAGTATTGTCTTATTTAATTTAATTTAATTTTAATAAGATTTTGTCTCTTCATGCAGAATCTGCAAATGGGAGTTTCATCTGACTGATAAAGATATTCAGTATGAATACTGTTGTACTTTAATTCTCTTTTATTCATACTAGCATTGTCAGTGCTGCTGTTCTCTCAAGTTAAGAGTTCATATAAATAATCTTCTCTTCTGAATTAAGCAAGCACTTATAATCAATCTTCAACTTGTCTCTGAGCATCATTTCAAAATTAGAGTAGAAACTCAGATTACTTTCATTAAAAACTGCTGAATTGAGCAGTCTGGATTGGAAGTGAGAAGTCACTATTAATACTGATATTAAATCTGATACTGAAGCTGACAGATGTTCTGATATTAACTGTTCAAGTTTTATAATTATTTCTGTCTGCTATTAATTTGCTTCTGATAGAATTTAATTTATATTCTGTAATACTTGTAAGATGAGTTGATATCTTTCTTTTATTACTCTTACTCATATGAGCATCTCTTTATTTATTCTTTTATTATTATACTCTGATGTGTGAGCAAACATCTTTTCTCAATAATTTTGTGATAACTTACTTTATTATCATTTTAATATGATTTACAATAACTCTCTTTATTATTGTCTCAATGTTCATTTTTCATCTCTCAACAGCAGTATATTAGCTCTGACAGCAATCAACTTCTTAATATAATTTATAATAATCTACTTTATTACTATTCCAATATCTGTTTTTTATCTCTCAACAGCAGTGTATTAGCTCTGACAGCGACTAAATTTTCAACATTCAAATTTCCAATGGATGGATGTTTAATTATTTAATGTTCAATATCTCAATATTCAACTTGATTATAATCTGTGGAGAGATTCTTTTAACAATTTACTCTAATCTCTTTTATCTCACTTCAATTTTCTTTATTTAATAAAGAACTTCTCTCACAGAAAGATTGAGCAAAGTAATTCTAATGTAAGCAGTAAATGTTAGAGTTTGTTTCACTAACTAATCTATATTCTATTAATAAGAAGAATTGCTTAAGAAAAGAAAGAAAAAGAGAAAGAGAATAATATTAAAGTGTGTGTGCTCTTATAAAAGCAAGAATAGACTAGTGAGTCTTGATTGAGAATCTGATTGATTGAACACATTAGCTGTTAGTAAGCACTGTTAAGGACTGTTAAGTGTGATCAGAAGGTCACTGAGTTGTTGAGTCTAATGATTCATTAAGAGTTCTCTATCAGACATCAGCCTGTCACAGTTTAATTCTTAATATAAATAATTTTACTGATTTCTGTGGAAAAGTGGTCTGCATTCTCTTGCAGTTTATTCTTCATTTTGAAAAGTTAATGCTCAAACTTGAATTTCTTTTCATCTGTGAGATGCTTGAGATCATTGATCTTGACTGATTGCTTTTCTCTAAATTCAGTTATATGAGCAGAAGTACTTTCTCATTTCTGCATGTTCAGTAATGCAGTTACACATGCTTCTTTATATTAATCTTGTTTCTTTATCAGAACAGTCACTTGTTTCTTCAGAGCACTAATCTGATTCTGAGCTTCTCTTTTAATCTGTTTGCTATGCACTCAAGTTTCATGAATTGTGCTGCTGATTTCATTATAGACTGCTTGTGTGTTCTGTTTCACAGCAGCATTAAAATATTCAAAAGAAATTCAGTTTATTTTGTCTTCTTGTAAGCTTGAAGCTAGATCAATTCATTAATATAAGAAAAAATTCAACAGCTGATTCTCTAATGATGATAAGTTCAGATTGTTTGCAGATGCTGACACATTCAAAGTCATGATTAACACTGTTTGAAATCTTTTAACTGAAAGACTTCAAAAAGAGTAAAGTAAGATGATGTTTAATATTATGATATAATCTCAGACTAGATCCAAGAATAGAAGAAGAAGAATCTAATAAACTGTCATATTAGATAGATTTAATTTAAAAATACTAAACATGATGAAGAAAAGAGAAGTCTGAAATGATTGTGTAATATATACTCTCTTGCTCTACTAATGACAGTTGTCTGAAGAATCTGATCACATGTTCTTAAGTCTGATGCTTCTTTACCACTCTGTGTCAGATTCTAACAGAAAGTGTCAGAGAGATTGAATAAACTTGATACATATATTTTTGAGTTCATTCAATCTTTCTACTTGTTCAAACCCACTAACTAGTCTGACAGCTATCCAGCCACAATTATTGTGCTTGACTTGTATCATACAGAATTTGCCCTTGCTGGACTTCTAAAGAAGCTGACTTGAATTTCAACACAAACCAGTCAGGACAGTGTGTCTATCAGAGCTGACTCTCATTCTGGTTGACTGATTCTTTAATGATTTCAGATAGTGTTACATTTTGTGCACAGGATCACATCTCTGAATGCACAACTGAATGCTTGTGTCAGAAGCCTACCTGAAAGTTTGGGCAGTGCTCTCATCTCACATTTTCTTCAGAGTGACATCACTAGCAGCTCTACTCAATGACATTGCCTGCATCTCTGCATGTTGTATAATATGGACTCTCAGAAGAATCTCCTGTTTTTTCAAACCATTTTCTGCAAGTTTCTATTTTCACATAAAGAAGCACCTTGCTAGGCGAGTTTCAATGCTGTCAGAAGGGCAAACTTGCCATGGTATGTCTTCTTTAAAATTAAGACTGAGAGCTTGGAAGAAGTTTTCTTCCAGAGCTTCCTAAAGTCTAAAATATCTTGCATCTCTCTTCCTCCCATGCAGCTCCCATACCCAAATATGTTGACAAGAATGAGAGTTGCATGCCCACCTTCACTTCCCAGTGCAACATCTCCTTCTGATTCTGGAGGACTGAAGAATCTGAGTGCTGTGGAGTTCAATGCAATTCCCCACAGGAGATGAATATATATAATGACATGGAGAAGTAGCTCTTGCTTCTATCTACCCCCTGCTGTCACACATCCACAGCTCTCCATATTCACCATATATCAGACCTGGGTCCACTGGCTCTTCCAACATGCAGTTCCTCAACATCCTCTGTCTTCTCCTCCCAGCAAGCATCCTAGCTGCCGTTGCAGAGCCTTCAATTTCGCCTGGATTTTACAGAATCATTGAAAACTACCATTCACTTTCCCCAATCATGAATGATACAGTCTCCAACATTGAATTTAAAAGGGTCAGCGACGCTCCCTATCACAGATGGTATTTTGGATTAGCCAAACCATATAACAGGGCATACATGATTTCACATGGAGGCAAATATATCAATGTTGAAAGCAAGCACAGTGCTGTCGCCTTCCTCTCAAATACTTCATGGACCTTCTTCCAGATCTATTATTACAGCAAAGCCATCTGGGTGATTGAGCCGCTCAACCAACCAGCCGGCCAGCAATTACAGCTTTCAGTCAACACAGACCCCAACAATCACCAAAGGAGCGTCCTGCTGCTTAAGGAAGCCCTTTACAGTGCCGGCTTCAGCTTTATTGCACCACAGAGCGATTGATGAACCTTGGCCCGTGTTGATGGAGTGGATAGAGTTGGGATCATTGATGGCGGTCATATGGTTGTTTGCTTTCCAAGATGATGGCCTCGGGTAGCATGTTAAATATGGAGAGTATAGGGATTGAAGAATAAAACATGTTTCTGATGGAATATGGTAATGTTCTCTGTCCAGCCCGATGTCGTTTTGGACAATCAGTCATGCGCAGTACTGGTAATGGTCCTGATATCCACAATCCCATCAAAGTCGCGTGGAGTCTCCATTCCCAAACTCTTACCTCCTGCTCTAAAGCCGGGATCGCCGAAATATCTGTATGCCAACATAGCCATGATGTATGAAGTTAAACAGCAACCATAGCAGATTTCCTTGAATCCAAACAACTTCAATATAACTGTAGATTCACCATAAAGATCCCCATAGCCATTAGATCACCATTACTGCTTTGGGTAACTCTAAATAAACTGCAAATTTCCACAGTTACGTGAGAGAGCACAAATCTGAAGTTGAAATTTGTGTTTAGTAAAATTATTACAGTTTGACTTTTTGGAACAGGGATTTTTGAAGCCATTTGGTGAATTTGACTCCTGTGTAAATATAGTTAGTCTTTTTCTGCGAAAATTAAACCTCCACCTTGTATATTGGGCCCTGGGGCCCCACCAGCTGTGTGTGTTGCCCCCCCCCCCCCCCCTTTCTCATGGGTGGGTCAGCTCAAGCCATCCAGCATTGTGTTGTTTTTGTTTCCAGCTCTACTTTTGCAGTGCACATGGCAGAGGTGCACAGGCCCCAAACAGCTGCTGGCATGGGGATTTGAACCACCACAGACTGCTCTGCCTTCATACAATTATTGACTGACCAGCCTTTTCTCACTCTTCTTTTTGAGAGGTGGGAACCCTGGCCTGCCATCATCTTCATTCTATCATTTTCTCATCTTCTAAGGAAAGATAGTTTGACTCAGATATTATTGACATCTTCCTGGGGTCTTTTTCTCATGTTTTCTGGAATATCTCAGAATTGTGCATTCTCAAGACTTTAAACTCTGAGAGACATACCATTTGACATGTTAGTATCTGCTTCTGCACCATTTGTCTGTATAGTGCCACTGCTGACTTGTTTGTTCAATATTAATTAATTATATCAAAGAAGTATGATAGATAAGTCTTTTGATACAATCTCAGGCTAGGTGCAAGAATAGAAGAAGAAAAATCTAATAAACTGCCATACTAGATAGATCTAATTTGAAAATACTAAACATGGTGAAGGAAAGAGAAGTCTGAGGTGATCATGCAATATATACTCTCTTGCTTTACTAATAGCAGTTGTCTAAAGAGTCTAATCACATGTTCTTAAGTCTGATGCTTCTTTATCACTCCACACCAGACTCTAATATTATCTCTCTGAAAAATTCAGACATTCTCTCATGTCAGACATTCTGATTATAAATATTTTTATTTCAAGCTTTTAATAAATTATCATCTGCATGTTCTGATACATTTTTCTCATTCTCTCATGTCTTCAGTCATTTTATCAGTCATTTCAGAGATTTTGATTTCTGCAGATTGCTCTTGTGGTAATCTCTTAATCAATATAATGAGCTCTTAAAATTTCACATCAGATATTACTGCAGATCATGATCAATTTTAATTATTTAACTCAGTACTGCAACTTTCTTCAGTGAATTCAGCTTGTCAGAATTTACTTCATTTTTTATTTATTTTTCTCATTGATAATTAATAACTCTGACTTCTCATACTCTTATTTTAATAAAGAGTTCATTGCTGCTCAGCAGAGTTTGTCTGAAGAGAATACAGAATATATCTTTATACTTAAGAATAATTTCAGATAATAGCTGTTTTCTATCTTTTTCATTATTGAAAAGAATTCAGTGTTCTGCTCTGTCAGTTTTCTGCTTGAGCAGTCTACTGAATAGTTGTGTAGAGTTAAGTAGATCTGATTCTCTATCTCAAAATTGAGCTTTTAATAGTGATAATTAATTTATTTCTTTCTTATTTTCTGAGTCTTCTGTACTCTCTGCTGCATAAATTTTCATACTTTTTCAAAAGCTTATACTTGATTCTGTATCTTCTGACAGTTTAAGCACTCAGTGCATGATACTCCATCTGATAAAGACTGTCAGTTAAAAGATATTCATGACTTATAGTTATTTATTACTAGAAAGAAAATTGCACCTGTTGAAGCATGCACTGTAACAACTGTAGCATGATTTATAATAAGCAATAAATCATTTCAATTGTCTTGATAGTGACTTATATATGATTACAATCAGATTGCTAGATACTGATTGATAATTTCAGTCTGACTATCTGTTTGCAAATAGTGTGCTGTAGAAAGTTTTAGCTTGATTTTCAGAATTTTGATAAACTCTTTTCAGAAATCAGATATAAATTGAAATTCTCAGTCAGATATAATTGAATCTGATACTTCATAATATTAATAGTAATGCTATGTGAATAATCTTACAAGCTATGTGCATCACTCTTCTTGATGGTTGAGATTGAGATGAAATTCTTTGCTTCAGTCTATATATAATAATCAAGATTGTATTGTGCTTTTATTTTATTATGAGAGCATCTATAAAATTCATTGAGATGTGCTGTCACACATAGTGGAAAATTAGTAGTAGTTTCAGTAGTTCTGATATCTTATCTCTTAATATCTTGATTCATTAACAAACTCAGTAGTTGTTCATATAACAGTCTGCATTCTGCTGCAATGTTTTTTTTTTTTCTTCAATAAGTGCATTCAGTCTAAGACTATGGCACTGTACTAAATACATAAGATTGAGATGAGAAATCTCAACAACATTAATCATATCTCAACATATCAGTCAAAAAGAATAACAAATTAACAAAACAGTTGTAAAAATCAAGTATTCAGCCAATTTCTTCTTGCAATGTGAGATCTTTCAAGAAACTCACATAATATCTTAACACCTTTTTCATCACATAATAAATCAGTTAAATTCAAAGTAAACTTCTGTAGTTTTAGCTTCATTTCTTGATGATAAGAAGTCAGTTTGCTGCATGTCAGGAGCAAATGTGCTGGTGATTGAACAGACACATCATCACAGTCATATTTATCAGAATCATAGTCAGCCAGTCTTTTCAAATAAGATCTGAAATAATCATGATCTAATTTTAGCTGCATATAAGAAGACCACACAACTCTGCTGGTTTTAATCATCAGATTGTATGACTTCCATGCAGGCTTAGTGATGAGATTCTGATAAAGTTGACTTTTTCTTGATATATTCCACAAATTCTGTCATTCTTGTAATAAGCACTGCTTGATGTTTTTCTTTAGATAAGCTTGAGAAAAACCAATATTGCAAAACTGACTAGTATTTTCAGATATATCAAGATCAGCTGCTCTTTTTGCAGCTATATCAGCCATTTCATTGCCATAAATACTCATATGTGCAGGTACTCATGCTATATGAAGCTGAATGTTGTTTGAAAACAGCATTTCAGCTGACTGATATATTTTATATGAATATTTCTGATTTATATAAGCTGTATTTCTCTGAAGTTTTTGAATAGCAGCTTGACTGTCAGTAAATATCCATATGTTCTTAATAAAAGATATTTGAGAAGTGAAGCCATGGAGCATTCCACTTTGCACTATAAGTATCAATCATGCAGTGAAAATCTGATGTAATGTGCTTTTTGAGATAAGAAAATAATCTGAATAATTGAGAAGGAAACTTTTTCTTTCTTCTCTTTATTTTTCTTTGCACATTTCTTATTAAGTGATATTCAGGCTCAGTTTCTGATTCTGAATACCATTCATCTTGATTCCAGTTGCATAATTGAACTTTTGAATGCAAATCATTCAGATTAATACCACTGGCACTTAAATCAATTGGAACTCTAGTCTTTATTGGATGTGTATCATATAAAGATAAGATTCTCAATGCATAATTAAAGTACAGTTTATTTAATCTGACTGATGAGAGTGGTAAACATGTCTCAATCTTCATAGCTGCAACTGAACTAGATTTAAAAGCTTCCAAAATCTTTCTTAGTGATTGATTTTGAAGCTTTTTAAAATAGTTCAATAGAGATTGCTGCTGTTTCCACCACACAGGAACTTTATAATCAGTAATTGATGTAATGCAGACAATATATAATCTTCTCATAACTTCAAATGAAAGACCTCTTTCAGTATTTATCAATCTGCTGATTGCATGAAACATTCTAGTAGCATGAGCAGTTCTTTTTTGAACATGATACTTAAAAGAGAGCTTTCTATCAAACCATATTTCTAGTTATTTCACTATTTTCTTGAAAGAATCAGTTAGATTGGTCAATTTAACTGTTTTATTCATTGATCTTTTACTCTGATTAAAATGAATAAGCTCAGTTTTTTTCATATCAAACTGAACAAAATACTTATTTCCTCAATCTATCAATTTTTGAGCCATTTTTGCTAGCAAAGAGCAATTTTCAGAAATGATTTTTGATGATATTATTAAAGCAATATCATCAATATAGCTAATCATTCTGACAGACAAGTCTGAGCTAGCATTTTGTTTAAATAACTCACTGATATATATAAGAAATAGTATAGATGAAACTGGTGATCTCTGTGGTACATCAGTCTCAATCTCTACTGATTCATTCATGATTTCTTCATCAAATATTAATTTCACTTTTCTCTGATGAAGAAAAGAATAAATCCAGTAATATAGACTAGATGAAAGATGATTTTTCTGACATATCTCTAACAATTGAGCTTTATTAACATGATCAAAAGCTCCTTTCACATTCATAAATAAACATGAAGTGATCTTTTTATCATGTTTGTTCAGTTCAATATCAGAGAGTAATGTTATTGCTGCATCAATTGCTGATCTTTGCTGTCTGCCACTCATTTGATTAAAATAGAGCAAATCAGTGATTTCAGCAAGCTGAGATAGGCATCTTGCAATGATTTTCTCAGAGATTTTGCTCAGGTAATTTAATAAAGAGATTATTCTATAAGAA